AGGCCAGAAACCTACGTTCAACAGCGGAGGCCTAAGAGCTGGAGCCAAGCCTCAAAGCTAAAGCTGGCCCAGAATAAAAGAAAAAAAAAAAAGAAAAAAAGGAGCAGTTGGGAGCTGCAGTCACCCCCAGCCTGAAAACAGCCCTCAGCTCCTCACCCAGACTGGCCAGGCACCCCAGTGGGGACCCCCACCCTGATCCAGGACACCCTTCAGGGCAAACCAGCTGGCACCCACCCATGCACCAGGCCTCTACCCTATATAGTAAAAGGGTAATATGCCTCCCAGCACCGGGATCAGCAGAGCCGTGAGGCCTCCCGGCACCGGGATCGGCGTGACAGGGGGCAGCACCCAAACCCCCTGATCGCCCTGTGGCTCTGTGTGTGACAGGGTGTGGCGCCCCCCCCCCCCGCAAGGGCCCTGCTCTGTGTGTGACAGGGTACAGAACCCCAACCCCCCTGATGGGCCCTGCTCTGTGAGTGACAGGGGCAGCACCCCACCCCCCTGATTCGCCCTGCTCTGTGCATGACAGGGGGTGGCGCCGCAACCTCCCCATCAACCCTGCCTTGAGAGTGACAGGAGACGGTGCTCCAACCCACCAATCGGCCCTACCCTGAGTGGGACTGAGGGTGGCATCACAACCTCCCGATTGCCCTGCTCTGTGTATGACAAGGGCGGCGTCCCATCTCCCCAATTGGCCCAGCTCTGAGCCCAACCAGGGGCTGCACCTAGGGATTAGGCCTGCCCTCTGCCACCCGGGAGCAGGCCTAAGCCAGCAGGTGGTTATCTCCCGAGGGGTCCCAGACTGCGAGAGGGCACAGGCCGGGCTGAGAGACCCCCTCTCCGCTGAGTGCACAAATTTTTGTGCACCGGTCCTCTAGTCTAGATATATAAAAGTCTAAGTGACCCACTGACCAGCCAGTAGCTATGATGCGCACTGACCACCAGGGGGCAGATGCTCAACGCAGGAGCTGCCGAGTGACAGCAACTTCACAGAGTGCCCTCTCCCACTCCGGGACCCCTCAGAGGATGTCAGACTGAAGGTTTCAGGCCTGATCCCTGCAGGCCAGGCTGAGGGAGCCCACCAGTACACGAGTCCATGCACTGGGCCCTTAGTGGTAATGATATCAGATGAAGAAACAGACAAATAATAATGACTTGGGGCTAAAGAAGCCTGAGAACTAAAAAATAAATAAATAAATAAATAAATTAATCTGCAGGACAACTTCAGCTTTGCCTCCTATGAGATGCTATGTTGTGGCAAGACTTTTTTTCTTGCATGATGTACAGTTACTAATTATGTAACTTGAGAATTAGACACTAGGACATGTATCTAGTGTCTATTACCATCCTACAGAGACACAGAACCCTGAACTCTAGTCCTGAATGAATCATTTAAATGCACCATCAACTCTTCAAAGGGAAGCATGATTTCTAGGCCTAAAGAAGTAACTAAAATCACAGTTTTTATAGAACTGTTTTACTGCTGCTTCAGTTAAGATGGGTCATTCTCCTGGTTTAGTTGGTGGTGCTATTTTCCTTTCTTTGCCATAATGATGACTTACCTACTCGGTGTGTGTATGTGTGTGCATGCATGTGTGATATGTGTGTACGTGTGTGTATGTTAATTCAGTCATTTGCACTGTTGTGTCTGTGGCATGCTTGTCTAGCCACGGTCTCCCTGGGGTCATCATGTATAGCTGTACAGAGAGTGTCCTTCACAACCCCACTAGCTAGGACAGTGATGCCATGGATAAAAATCAGGATCATTGCTGTGGTGTATAGTACCCTCACAGGGCGCTCTGATCATAAATTCCTAACTGGACAGGTCACGGTGACTAATCATGCCTCAACCCTATAACTTCTTTAGTAAAAAGTTTCTCTTTGCCTTAAGCCAGCCTTGTGCATTGTTTCTGTGGATCTAGATTACCACACCTTTGAAATGCCTCTTTTCAGACCCCTTCAAAAGCAAAAACACCCTCAAGAGAGCACATCACCTTAACTATCCTGTCATCCAATCCCTGCCTTGCTTGCTCCTACCTTCGTGTAATCTTCCTTAATTCCCTCCTTAATCTCAAATGCATAAAATAAACAAACTGCAAAACTGCCACTCTCTGCAGCATTTGATATCTTGCTTTCCTCCAATTGTCATCAGTTTGGTTCAAATAAAATCCTATAAACATTTTCTACAGGTTTGGAAGTGTCTTGTATTGATGTTGTCAAGTCTAATATGACCCCTAACATACCAATGTTGCTTACGATGACTTACAAAATGCTTATAATATGGGCTTATATCCTGATACACCACTGTAAATTGCAAATATTGTAAATAGAAAATGCATTTAATGTTCTGCACTCACAGAACATCATAGCTTATCTTACACATGCTCAGGACACTGACATTAGCGTATAATTGAGCAATTATCATGAGTTTCATCTCAAGAGTGATTGCCTTCCTCTTCCCACCAGAAATTGGGAGACAGAAATGGGGTTTTTTGTAGACATGATGGAAAAACACAAAACATGACATCCCACAAGTGCTGGCAACACAGTGCTGTGGGTACTGGCTGTTTATCCTCATGATGCTTGGCTGACTGCTGCTTTCCGGCATTGAGAATATCATACTAATCCAGGGAAATATCAAAATTCAAAATTTCAAGGATGGGTTCTACTGAATGCATATCACTATCACACCATTGTAAAGTTGAAAAATCCTAAATCAAACCATCTTAAGTTGGGAATGACTGAATAATAAAAAAAAGCTACCCTCTGTTCTCTGTGATCACCCTGAGTAGGTTAAGCAGCAACAGAGTTGTAGATAAAGTGGAAGGGATTGGTAGAGGGAGGGAGGAATCCTTTAATCTTTGGTGGTGGCTGTGATCTTAACAAAGAATCAATGGTAGGTGCTAGGGGCCTTACGTAGACCAGGTAATTTCTCTACCTTGGGCGCCTGGGCAGGAATTTCCGAAGACCCCCAGGCAGCTATGGAATCTGGAATCTGGAATCCGGACAGAGCACTGGGGCCTGAGGGTGGAGCGGGCCCTCCCGGTTCTGTGTCATCCTAGCTCGGCCTTCATATCTGGCTGTGATCCCCTTGGTTTAGGCCATGCCACCCCGACCCTCTGAGAGTGAGAGTGTGGCCAGGGGAACCAAAGACACTCATCCTCTGCATTAGCTTTGCACTTTCTGCTCCAAAACTTTTAAAAAATATATTTTTATTGATTTCAGAGAGGAAGGGGGAGAGAGAGAGCGAGAGAGAGAGAGAGAGAGAGAGAGAAACATCAATGATGAAAAAGAATCATTGAAATGTTGCCTCCTGCATACCCCTGCTGGGGATCGAGCCTGCAACCCAGGCATGTGCCCTTGACCGGAATCGAACCCGGGACCCTTCAGTCCGCAGGCCGACACTCTATCCTCTGAGCCAAACCAACCAGGGCTGCTCCCAAACTTTTTATAGCCTTACACATTCCACTAGAACTTTGGGGTGGTGGCAGAGATTCTAATTTGATCCTATTTTAATTGTTCTGGAGGTTTGGCCCAGGCACCAGTACTTTTAAAAAGCTCTCAGTTGATACTAGGGAAATATTCAGCTTTCTCTAGGGCTGAGAAGGCCTGTGATGGAGCAGAGTGTGAGCTGGAGCTGGAGTCCAGAGGCCTGGTTGCCAGTGCACTCCCTCCCACCCTTTATCCATCCCACACCTTCCCAAAATGCTACTGGGCATCTTTCACCAGGGAGACTTCTCTGGGCAACCAGGCAAATCTGTGTGGGAGAGGGCAGCTTGTGTGGCCGTGTGACTACCTTTCTGTGACTGAGTGCTCCTTCTTATGGGCCATACAAGCCAGTCTCTCCTTGTGTTTTAGTCGGTGGCATCCGGCGAGTCCCCGCCTTTCAGGATCTTGGGAAGTCTGTAATTATGCTCTGGAGGTGAATTCACATATTCAGTCCGGATTGCAGTTGAAATGGCAGCACCCCCTCTCTGCAGAATGCTGGATTTGAGCTAGGCATCTAAGCTACAGAGGAATTGGACGTACAGAGGAAACTACCAGAGAATGGACTTTGGCCAGTGAGAGGAGCCATGGTAGAAGTTACACTAAGGGGACAAAGTAAAGGAAGGGGATCTGTGGGTGTTGGTCGTCTGACTAGAGTGTCGGGGGTTTAAGGACTGCGACATCTGCACCAGGTTGCACACCGCGGGTCGGATTCCGTGAGAGACCCCAGCACACTGGAACATCTGGATTCAGTATCTGCGGCTCCAGAGGCCTCCGATCACCAGCGCCATGGCCGGCCGGCCCTCTCTGCTCCATCTGTGTGCTCTGTCAGAGATAATGAAATCAGACAGGCCCCCGGAGACTTCTCTTCTCTCCTCACAAATTTTTAATAAAACTCTTTGAACAACAGAGCTGGGCATCTCTGAAGCCTGAAATTAAAGCGATAAGATGGAAGATTACTCACTTGTCAGTGTGCACCAAACTGCATCACCCGTACAAATGCCAGGGAGTGATTCTAAATCTGCCGGCAGCGTGCGGCTCCCCATCTGGAGGCCGTTCTCTCTGATGGCAGAGGAAGGAGGGCGGCACCGAGGAAGGGAGAACCACTTCGTTCTCTGCCACGGACAACATGGGAGTCAAGCCCTGAATCGGGTTTCCAGAGAGTCCTTTTTGGAGCTTTGCTTTTGAATTAGCAAGTGTCCCCATTTCAGGCTTTCTGAGACAAAACATAACCCCAGTTGTTCATTGGGGTCACCCCCCACTCATTCATCTGGATCCCCAGGTCCATCCCATTAGTCCATGGCCACCCTCTACCTGGCCCTGCTGAGAGGACAGGGCACATCTGGCCACATGGGGCTCCACGGCCAGGCGTCAAGGCCAACCACAGACCAACACGTGTGTCCCTCTCCGTGTACTACAGGTAGCGTTAGTGCCGTGAGGAAAACTCACACGCGTCGTGGGGCAGAGGATCATGGAGGACCAGGGACGTTTTAGACGGGGCACTCCGGACAGGCCTCTGAGCCGGGTTGTAAATTAAGTATCTCTGTAGCCTGGCCCCTTCCCAAGGCAAAACTCTTGGCATTAATCCTGCAAGCAACATTACTCAGTTTTCTATAAAAGAGAATTTATTTAGCCTTGGCTGAGATTTAAGAAAGAATTAGTAGTAACTTTCTTTCTTTCCCTCCCCCTCAAACCCCATTTCTTTTCCCCATTACCTTCCTCTCCTGTTTTTCTCTATTGCCTTTCTCTTATCTTGCCTACCGACTCATAGACAGGAAGAAAATCAAATGATCGAATGTTTCCATTCGTTTATAAACTGCAGGATATTTCTAGAGTCATAAGCTCTCAACACCAATGGCAAAGCTAGCTGCCGCGATTCACTGCGCCCCTGCACCTTCCTGCGGGGTCCCCCACAATGTAAATGTTATGGTGGCTCTGGCCCAGGCCTCCTGTTACACCCATATGAAAACCACGGGCCTCCTGCCTAAAGAGAACAATGAGCAGCCACTCTGGGTCCTGTACTCATGTCACATCATTTCCCCACGAAGGCGGTGACGCTAAGTGAGGCACCAATGCTGTCACATGGCATCTGCCTCAGAATAGAGTTGTAGTCTTTTCTGTGAAAATGTCCTCAGGACTGTGTGGGCCAGTGTCCCGGGCAGGAAACACAGTTCCACTCAAGTGGTTTAAGTGACGAGAATGCTATGAAGGGGCTATTGTGAGAGGTGTGGGTGAGGGAAGGGAGCAAACAGAAGCATACAGCCATTAGCAGGAGCAAAAAGCCATTAGCACCTCCAGGGCTGAAACGCCAGGGGAAGGGGGTTTGTTTTCAGAGCCCACTGAGAGCTGGAGCCCTGCAGGCCGTGACTTGTCAGAATGCTGCCTGCCAGAGATAAGGGGATGGGGAGGGACGGGCAGAGGAGTCCCCAAGCAGCCATCTCTCCTCTCACTCCCCAGGCTCACCCAGCCGTCCAAGTGGACAGTCTGCCCCTTGGACCCAGAACAGGACAGAGGAAGGCAGAGAAAGGAGCCTGAAGATGGCAAATGCAGGATCTAAGGCACAGGGACCACCCCTAATGCCCACCTGCTCATCAGGTGCTTTGTCCATGTGCGAGTCCACAGTGGCCATTACAACAACTTCTTCCTCTTTTCTTCCTTCTGTTGTACAGTTGAATATTGAGACACGTCACACCTGGTACATGGTCTCCCTGATCAAAGTTCCAAGGTGACCTAATTCAATGCCAGCTTTTAATCTAACCCGTTTCCAGCAATTGGCCTGTGGAGATGCGGTCTGCCCCTGGGTGCTCTGTCTCTGCTTCCTCCCTCCCCAAGTCCCCTTTTTGGTACTTTAAGATGAAAGGTCATTTCAAAAGAATTTAATTATTTCCTTTCTAAGTAAACTCAGAAGAATGTCCTCTTCTAGATGATTTTTAGGGCCTGTCTACAATTTTCTTATTTCTCCCTAATATTTTCTTTCATAAAGAAATTTAGGGCTTGAAAGTCATCTTTAAGGTCATTTCCCTGCAGTGGAAGCTATGAAGATGAAAGCACAGCTGACTGGGGCCCTGGTCCCAGCCCGGTTCTTGCTGAAGCCTTTTCAATGACTGCGTTTTCTGGCTCTGGCTACAATTATTTCACGGGTTGCATTGCAGCCCATAGCAGTTTCTTTCCTAGCTGAACTAGTTTCCTTGGCCTTGGCTGAGAGGTTTTTGGTGTGTGTGTGTGCGCGTGTGTGTGTGTGTGCTTTTTTAAAAGAACTTTGCCAAAGGCACACATTCACACAAACCTATCCAGTAAATCTGTGTTTAGAAAGTGCAAGGCCGTGCTAATATTTATTGTGAAAAATGGCCGTTGCCTACATCTTCGCCCACTTTGAAGAAACAGAATCCCACTGCCGCCTAGAGAGAAGCACTTCCTCTGTTGTGTTCCATGTGTGCACAGAGAAAAAACACCTTTAAGCTGATATTGATCCTAGGGCTTTACCAACCCGGAGTCCTGCAAAGGGCATGCCAGCTCATCATAAGCAGAACAGCATCGCTAATTAGACCTGGGATTCGGGCTTCTGTTCAGCGGACGGCCCTTCCTAAGTCTCCCCAATGAGCCCTCTTGGAAGCCTGAGACTAAGGACGGCATGTGTGAAAAAATCTCATCAATATTAAATGATGTTTTATGGAGACCCACGAGGCCTTGCTGTGGCACGGGAATCATGTCACCTCTATTGGTGGCTCCGGAAAGTTTCAGTGGTCAACCTTGAAGAGGGGATCTCCACCCACAAAAATATATCTTCAGCCCATTTCCTAATAAATATAATTAATCTCCTTTCCTTTTACCCCTACCGTACCCCGAGGTCATCGGGTAAGAATCCAGTGTAGATATTTTGATTTAAGTGCCAATGAGCTACGGTGTCAGAATCGGTAAAAAAAAAATAATAATAATAATAAAGCCACTGATGGTAGCCAAAAGCAGAGGGAAGAGAATGCATCTGAAGCCCAGCTATCGAAATCACTGTATTCCGTATGTGCTGTTTTATTACAACAGTCTGTCCAGGCCTGATGTCTGACACAGGACAATCGACTTGTCTTCCCCTGTCTGGCTCTCTCTGTGCAAACCTAGCCCATGGACTGCGGTAATCAAGGCAAGGTCACAGTCCTCTATAACTGGGAGGGGAGTTCATTATATCTCGGTTGGCAGCAGGAGCTATTGACTTTCTTGGATATAGTCAGAGAGGAAGGTCCTGCTGGTTCCTGACCCAGAAGTGAAAGAAAAGAGCATTCCTACCTGGCATATTCTGGGATGTGCATCAACTCAGGTCCCTGGTGATGCAGAATTTTCAAACTTTAAGAGGCTGAGGCTGCGAGAGCCCCTTGAGCCGCTGAGATAATGTGCAGGCCCCCAGCAGGTATCTGGAGATCTGCATCGTCATCTCCTGGATGATAAAGCTGTAGTTATGGTTAGGGCTCTGTTTAGAAATTGCTGACATTTAACCTGGAGGTCAGATCACATTCTTTCCCTGCTAACATCCCTTGCATGCTTTCCTAGTGAAATTGGAATAAAAGTCTCAACTTCCCCATGGCTTATTCTGATCCCTCCCTACCCACCAATCTCATTTTTCTTCTCTCTCCCTGTTTTACTAGGCTCTAGCCATGTGCCGGTTTGTTTCTGTGCCTCAAACACCCTGAGCTGTTTCTTCTACCAGCACCTCTGCACTTCTCGCCTGTCTTCACTCAAAATGCCTTCTTCTCAGAGAGGGCTTTCTCCTTGGGCCATGCTTCCAAAATAGCGCCCTCTTACTGGCCCTCTCACTCGCCCTCTCCCCTCCTCATTTCCTTCAGAGTTATAATGACAATCCATTTTGTTTTGTTTTGGTTCTGTTTCCTCCATGATAAGCTCCAAAGGGTAGGAACTGGATTTTGCTCCCCACAGTCCCTCCTTCAGCAAGAATAGAGACGGACATGTAGTAGTTCTCAAAATCTAATTGTTGAATGAAGGGAATCCTATTGGTTAATATTAATTTCCAATGTAATTCATTTGTGAGTATGAGCATGTCCGAGTCCACATTTTCTTAGAGCCCAAGACTACTGAGATGCAAAGCATCAAAACAGTAGTAACCTTTGCTTAAAGCATCTCTCCCAACCCGGGGTGGGTGTGACAGGTGGGCTGAAGCTAAACTGTGGCTTTGAGTCTATGAATTCGTGAAGTGAACTGACCACTCAAATAAGAACTCAAGGGAATTATCAACCTTCCTCTTTTTTTTTTAATTTGGGTTGCAAATATGGGCAGTGATACAAGTTCTAAAAAAGAATTTTTAATCTGTTTTATTGAAAATGAAGTCATGCTTTTTAAACGTTCCTAGTATTTATTTTCTGTTCATTGGACATCATTTATTCCTTTTGTGATAGAGTCTATCGATATTTCATTTGGTGCAATATGAGATGTTATGTCTTATTTTTTATGCTTTTCTTCTACATTTCCTGACACTTTTTGGAGTATCTAGAGGGTCCACATTGCCAAGGAGAATTAGGATTATTGTATTCAAAAACCGTAAAAGCACGAAAGAATTAATTGCAGCTTTATTTGTTTCTGCCCCTAACTTGGTTCTTGTATCTGGAAACAGTTATTAATGGGGTTTTATTTGAATCAAAAGCTGAGGTCCTAAGGGGCACAGAGCAGCCCACTTATGAGTTTATGTGGCAACAAAGCTTGAAAAGAAAACCAGGGTGGGTGCTGAGGGCAGTGGGGACAGCAGATCTTGCTCCCCAGCACCTTCTAGGAGAGCAGAGAGGTGTAGGGGGCTGTGGTTTGAAATGGACACACTTGGGGCTCCAGGGGGAGAGGAGAGAGTGTAGAAGTGGCAGAGGACAGCCAGTGGCTTGAGAGCCCAGAAGTAGCGGAGCTGAAGCCATGGGTGGCCTTCTCTCTTTATGCATTACCCAGGCCAGAGGCCTGTGCCAGCAGAGGTGCCACCTGTGTCAGCAGAGGTCCCACCTGTGTCAGCAGAGGTCTCCCCTGTGCCAGGAGGGGGACCCTCCTCCACAGCTGCCTGGAGCTCTGCCCTCAGCAGGACACCATCTGCAGACTGAGGCTTTGCAGAGCCCCCATCACACTGTCCCACTTGAAAGCCAGCCTGGACACATAGTGACAGTGGGAGCAGACAATACCTGGGTGGGGCTGGGAGCAGGGAAGTTCACTCCATGTGCACAAGCGGATGTCCCCAGGAGGAAGGTGATGTCCAACAGAGTTTTGTCCGTGCCTTTTGTCGCAGAGAAGCCCAACCAATATCTCACTTCTACTGCAGAGATCTCCTACAAAGTACTTCTCAGGGGACTCTGGCCTTGACAGAATAAAATGTGAAAAGCAGTTTGTACCATGTAGGTTTCCAAAAGGGAAACCAGCACACACAGTTGGCCAGCTACCGCCCTGTCATCACAGCAGCACAGGGAGCAGCGGGGCGGCCCACAGCCCGGATGCCCACATTTGGCCCTTACAGGAATACATGCTTCACACTGTACACGTGTCCTGCCCCTCCCCGGCCTCCTGTAGCCTGAGAACCCACCTGCCAAATTCTGGAAGCAACAGGCAGCATGACGGAGGTGGCTTAAAACTGAACTCGGTTTTATGATACATCACCCTCTCTCCAAAAGTAACCTGCAGTCCTACCAGCCCTCCGGGTGGGAAGCTGCTACAGAGCTTCTCTCTTTTTTGCCCAAGGAAAAGGGGAAGGATACTTTTTGTATTTCACTCTAATACTCAGCAGGTTAGGAGGGGCGCTCATTGTCTAGTCACTGGCTGGCTCTACTGTCCTATTTCTGCAAGGGCCACAGTCCTTGGCTCTCGGTAGACGCTCTGAAACCCTGAATGGCCTGGCCTGGAAGGGTGGGTCCCCAGCTGGCTGGGAAGAATGCGGAGTGGCCCGGGAGCCGCCCTCTGCAGTCTGCTCACTGCTCGGGGCTGTGGTAAGAAGCCAGCAGGGACACCTGTTTTCCTCTTCGCTTGGGCAGCAGCTGCTGCAACAGAGCAGACGACACAGCCGTGGGGAGGGGGTGGCACGCACCTGTCAGTCCCTCTACTGTTCTCTTTTCTACTGGCCTTCCCACCCTCCTGAGGATGCTTTCCCTTTAATTTTTATCTCCTGTTTCATTTCAGTGACCCTTGGGCTTTTGGCCGTTCGTTTTGCCCTGATCCTTGACCTAACGCGTATTGTCCATACACACTGCCCTTTGGAAGGGGGGCCGGACCCTGGCTTGCAGCTCATGTTGACTTGATCTGTGATTATTAGTAACTAGAGGACCTGCAGTGACCAGCGGTCAATCTAGCTCCCGTTCTGCCATCCACGAAAGGGTTTACCTCAGGGGCCTGGAGCACAGTGCTGGTCTCCTCTGTGCTCTGTGTTCTGTGCTCACAGGCTGATAAGTTGCTGGACTCACCATGTTAGGAGCGTGTGAAGTGAAGGTTCACCTCTGGGGTGCACAGCCGGAGCTCTCCTGTCAGTCTGAAAAGCAGGCGCTGCATTTAGTAACAGGCCCTTGGACTTCATTGCAGCCTCGCGTGGGAGTGGGTTGCTGCAATACAGATGTGCAGCCTCGTGTGGGGGTGGGTTGCTGGAATACTGATGTGCGGGAGTCTCCGCCAACCCCCAGGGTGCTGAAGGCCAAGGCCCTGGGAGAGAGCTGGGATCTTCCCCCCTCCACCTCCTCCTGATTGTTTGCATGGCAGCCTTTGCCAGTCAGGAAGAGTACTTCAGTCCCTTCATCTCAGCTGCTTTCATAGCATGGAGGGAAGGGATCATAATTGCTGAATGAACCATCACTCAAAATGTGGTGAACAGTGATTTTCCTCCCTTCAGCCCTCACCTCTTCTCCCACATCAGATTAACTAACCACTAATACGATGAGTGGAATCGTTTATTGCTTCATGACTTCTCTACTTAGGAAATAAATAAAAGGCATCGCCTGCCGCTGGGTTTTGCAGGAAATGTATCGTTGGTATTAAGAGGATTTTCTTTTACACTACAAAATCCCCTGGGTCTAAAAATATATCTTCCTTTATAAAATGTAATTGTATAAGTGGAACATAATCATTATGCATGAATTGATTTCTTTATAAATTGAGACAAATTTACATAATAAATTTCTCATGGAAAATTTCTATTTTCTATGAGAATAGAAATTAATAAAAAATTGTCTTGTAGTTAAAGTTAATTCATTTGATGATATGGAAGTAAGTGCCTGTTTAACTGACTTATGGTAGCTCCAATTTAAGGGTAATTTGTTTATCCAGGGAATCAGTTCCAGGAACCTCTCTCTCTCTCTTTCTCTTTCTCTCTCTCTCTCTCTCCTTCTCTCCTCTTTCTCTTCTTCTTTTTGCTAAATTAGTCCTTTCACATGACCAAGACCTTAGGTTAAACAGATTGGTCATTTCTAAATGTGAGGCTTTGAAACATTAAAATATGGAATCTCCTTATTTCCACATATTTGCATCTGTTACAAACCCACTAATGTCCTCAGATATTTTGTAGTTGGGTGGAGAATTCTTGTACAGTCAAAATATTGTACAGGGTTGAAGTTTCTGGTTGACAAATTCATTTGAATAGAGCACCAAACCCACAGCATTTTTTACCGCCATCCACTGCAGCTGGAATGCTTTCTCCCCAGAGCTCCAGCTGGATGAAATGATTGGGCCATTTAGATGGCTTTGGTTAAAACTAACAAATTGCAGTATCATCTAATATGTGTGATTTGCTTAGAACTGACAATAGTCTGGGACATGGAAGATCTTTTGGATACTGCAGAAGGATATCTGGGGAATCCGTGTAGAAAAAGAACTTAACTGGGTCAGCACACTCTTTTGCGTGCAGTCACAAAACTGATCATTACTGTTTGTCAAAAGCGTGCACAGCAAATATAAAATGTACCTTATGGCCAGATATGGAAGAGGGGTTTAATCATGACACTTCAGTGCAGGTCAGAGGGGCCTGGAGAAGCTGGGGCGGGGCAGTAATTGGAGATGTTGGTACATACTGGCAGGGTCCATAGGAGGGAAAGAAGACTGACACTTCTGTACTGACAGTGAGCAACCGGATCCCAGGAAGCGGCTGGAGTCAGGAGGAGGCCCCACCGGAGGTGACGGTGCCTGCAGAGGTGCACAGGTGGAGTGTGCAATGGGGATCTTCACCAGGTGCCTGGGGCCTGCCCCTACGAGACCAAAAATCTTGGGGTGGGGTGGTAGTTTGGAAGGGGTAGGGAGTAGAGGGAAGAGAATGTAAGACAGAGATACACTTAATCTATACTAATAAAAGCCTAGGTGACCGTCATGCCC